GTCTATGGCCGAATCTCCGAAGTGGCCGAATTTTTTCTGAAGTTTTTCAGAATCGATTTGGATGCTTCAAATCGATTTGAAGCTTTTAATTGGTCTCCAGATTCAATTCGGATTCAGAGATTCGGTCCCCGAATCAGACTGAATCTCCTCTGAATCGAATCAGCTACCGAAGCTTCACGCAGCTCTATTATGAAGGATATACTAATAGATCAACTGAGATATTGAGAAGCTGGCTTTCCCTGGATGTCACAGCAAGTCAGAGTCAAAGGCAGAAATAGAACTCAGGAGTCCTGACTTCAGTTGTGTACTCTTCACACTCCCTTCCTAAATATGACAACATAATACTACTGTTTTTCTGTTTTCTAGCTTATGACCTTAAGAGGCTCTGTACTGGAAGATGCTATCCCTTCAACTGCAAAGCACTGCACAGCCAGGGGACTCCCCCTAAAAGAAGTGCTTGAGTATGTGGTTCCTGAGCTGAATATCCATTGTCTTAGGTTGGCGTTCAACACTCCAAAAGTCACAGAGCAGCTTATGAAATTGGACGAACAAGGGGTAAGTCCTAAGATACAGAATAAGATACTGTAAAGTGTGACATTAAATTACCAGACCTGTACTTGGACTGCCAAATTGCTTCTTAGGTCTTTTCTGAGTCTGTCTTGTACTTTTAATGGGGGTGCTCTTAAACGTTAGCCTTTATATGCGGAGCAAATTTGAAATGACTGTCTTTTTTTCTCCGCTTTTCCAGGTTGTTTGATTTGGTTAAAATCAAGCTCACTGCACTGGCTGGTGTAAACATTTGACATTCTGAGGGAAACGTTCTGATCTTGCTTGCAATTATTTTAGACCCTACTCGTGTAAAATCTTAATTCAGACTAATTTTTCTACCAGTAGGCGCTCCCTTTAATCACTGTATAGATAATAATTAAGCTGGTGTGTAGCTCCGTGATATAAGAAGCATGCATATGTTCTCACTTTGTAATGCACAGCCCTTTGCCCACTGCAGAAGAGACATTATTGGAGATGAAACCTTAAAAATACATTTTTATGCCAGTAGTTCCATTTAATTGCTGTTACATTAAAGATGCCAGCCATCAGTGTTTTTTTTAAATACTTATTTCACTATGGTAGTACCAAAAGAGCAGCAGCACTCTACACTGAAAAGAGAAATTTCCCAAGTTATTGAATGTTCAGTTGTAATGTACTGCTTTTATTCAGTAAAAGGTATAATAAATGTGTATGAGATTTTTGCAAGGTTTGTTTCTAGAACAAAATGTATGGCGATGCTCTTAAAAACACCCACATTGTCCTTAAAAAGTGATTTGAGTGTTCTTACTTCCAGGTGTCAGTGTAACTTCAGGAAATAGAGCTTAGGAGTCTTAAGTTCTTTCGGGATATTTACCCATAGTTATCTAAGTTTAGAGCCAGCGCAAGAGATATCATCAATAAAGCTAATTTAATGCCTAGCAGATTTGATTATGACATTTCACAGTTCCATTTCAAATGCCGAATGCATCTATCGCAACTTCCACTGTGTTGCCCATGTACAGTACTCCCTAGACAGAAAATAATACCCATGTCCCTATTTCTTGCCTGTCTGTCTAAGCATATCTAATGCATCTAATACTGAAGAGATGTCACAAAACAGAAAAAGATCACATTATTATCTGCCGAAGAAGGCATAAAAGCTATGTCACCTTCTGTTTTATAGCTTATCCCAAATGGGCATAATTATCAGTGGCTACCTTCAGAAGAAATATTGCTAACTTCTTTATGGTACCAATGGGAGAGGATGTCTGTCTATTCCAAACAGGAACAAGATTAGCTTATTATGCTTCCTAGTGGGAGGGAGTTCCATATCCAAGGCTCTTTCACTGACAGTAATATGCCCAATATCCCACAGAGACGTATCAACCTAGAATTCTTTAGCTTCATCATTAACATTGCAGTTGCAATGGAGGGATGTCACCTGAGAAACTGTATGAGAAAGGAGGTTTACAGTCATCCACCAAAATATTTAAAGATTAGGACTTGCAGTTTGAATTGACTCTAGCCAAGAATGTGTGAAGTGCCTGGGCCAAGGCATGGTAGGACAGTAGTAGGCTCCCTGGGATTTTCTTTGTTCTAAGTGTAGCCTGGAAATGGGGTTTATAATTGTAGCTAAGTCTGTACCAGAATGAAGTGGAGCACATCTCGGCTAACCTGAGATGCAAGAAAGTTTTTTTAGGTATTCATGACATTTAACTATCAAAATAATGACAAATTCCGTAGGAATTGATGTTGCCAATTTAGCTTTTAGAGGTTTGGATGCTCTCATGAAATCATGGCTTCCTTACTGCCTGATCAGAGTACCTTCTGTTTATTAATAATTACCTCTCCTTTTTTTGTCTTAACCTAAATTCACTCTGTTCTTTATCTGGAATCGAGTTTCCGTCAGGCCTTCTGACTGTTTATGATGCTTCTCAATCTCCTTCTATTTTTCCATTCAGAATTTTATTTCAGTGCCAGAGAAGATTGGTTTAAACCCAATAGGATTCCACAAATGAGCTTTCAGAGGTGCTGAAACAACTACCAGTAATATGGCCTGAATCCGAGAAAGAAACTGGCTGGAAGATTTTCAGTGAAATAATTTTCTTTCCGAAAATGCTTTTTAGTTAACTGATATTTTTTCTGAAATTATATCTATTTCAATAAAATTTCCCATAGGACTAAATAATCAGCACAATGTTTTGTTTCATTAAATTGCATTTTGAAAAATTTCATTTTTTTTTCAAACGTATATCTTCATTTTAAAATTTACTCCCTGGGTTTTTCATTTTGCATATTCTTTTACATTATTGTGCATCTTACGACGTATCACTGGTGATAATGAATAATATGATGGTTGACATATATTTTTTAAATTTTTAAATAATTAAGGGCAGCTGCTCCTTCGTACTGATTGAGACATCTTATTTTCTAGATCAGAGTTGTCTAGCTGGTGGCCCACAGGCCATAAGCAGTCCTGGAAACTTGCAGCTTTTGGGTCCCTATTCAGGGTGCTGCTTACCCCACTGCTCTGGCCACTGCTGCTACCAGAGTCTCCAGACTCCCCCTCTCTTCTCCAGTTTCTGCTGCCTACCCCCACCCCTGGGGGTGAGGCTGATGGAGCCACAGTTGGATAACTCGGGGAGCCCCAGGGAACCTGTGCAGTGTGGGGGGGGGGGACATGCACAATTCAATGTAGCCTCTGCAGATTGTAGACTAGGAGGTGTGTGGCCTCCAGCCACTCAAAAATTGACAGCTGTGTTTTAAATCAAAGTGTCTTCTTTGTGTGTTTTTTCCTTTAACGAATTGGCATGCTATTTCATTCAGTACAAATGGGCATGACCTTTATCTAGGAAACTAGGTTAGGTGTTTCATGGAGTAAAAGAAATTAAGTTCAGAAGGGACTATTGACTGATCTGAACTGGGCACCTGTGTGTCACAGACTGTGAAGTTTTACCCTATTACCTCAATATTGAACCTGAAACACGTATTTGTCTAACATTCCAGAAAGACACTTGCCCGAATCTAAGGACATCAAGAAATAGAGAATCCACTACTTCCCTTAGTTGTTTATTAAAATGATTAATCGCCTTTGTTATCATAGGTGCCATATTTCTTATTTGAATTTGTCTAGATTCAGCTTGCAGCCATTTGCTCTTGTTATACCCTTTCTCTGCCAGATTAAAACCTTTTAGTGCTTATTATTCTCCCTGTGAAGATGCTTATCCAGTAATCAAATCACCTGCCAATCTTGGTTTTATAAATTAAACTGAGCACAGTCTTTCACTGTAAGGCATTTTTTCCAGCCGCATACCATTTTGTTGATCTGTTCTGCATATACTCCAAAATTAACATCCATTTAAAAGGGAGAAACAAAAAGTACATGCAGTTTTCATGTATTGATTTCATGAGTTCTGTACAACAAGGTTTCAGTCGCTTACCATCTCCTTCTCACTATTCCTCTTTTTAAGGACTGTATTAGTTTTCTTGCCACAATATCATAATGACAATCTATGTTGAATTTGTGATCCTTGCTTATCAAGAATTATAGATGACACTGTCTTCTTCGTTACTTACCATTCCACCAGTCTTTGGATCATCTGCAAATTCTGTCAGTCCTGATTTTTTTTAATTTATATTGAAATCAGTATGTAAAGATTGACTTTCTTCAGCACTAGTACCAAGAACTCCCTGCCTCACCTCACCGTGATAATGTTTCTCTGATAGATTAAATACCTTGAGATCTGTCAGTTAGCCAGTTCTTAATCCATTTAAGATTTTTGTTGGTGATATACTGTAATGCCGCTTTTTAAAATCAAAATATTTGTAAGTATTAAGTTAAAATATATTGCATCTTTGGAGTTACCTTTAGCAACCAAACTTGTAATTTTGTCAAAATAATTAAATCAGGTTTGTTGGTCAAGACCCATTTTCAGTAAAGCCATGTTGTCTGGCATTAATTACATTGCTGTCCTTTATTACATTTTAATTGATTCCTGTATCAGCTTTTCCATTATCCTACTTGGGATGTATAATAAGTAACTTGCCTGCAATTATCTAGATATTGTGTGCCCTTTTAGAATATCAGTATTATATATAACACTCTTCCAAGCTCAGTGGATTTCCCTGGTGTCCCACGGTTAACTAAAAATTAACATCAGACACTTACATCTCCACAAAAAACTCTGGAATATGTTATCTTATCTTAACTTGCTCATTTAAAAATATTTATACTTAGTAGATGTCACCATTCTCTTTTCTTACTTTTGGATGGGAAAGTATTTCCATGATCCTGTTTCTTTTCCATATATAGAACAGAAAAGTTTATTGAATGCTTCTGTCTTTTCTGCATCATCATTAATAATTTTAACATCTCTGCATGGTGGTCAGGTCTGTACCATTGTAGGATTTCTTTTTTTTTAGTGTACTTGATACCTTATTGTCCTTAGCCTTACCAAGTCTTTTTTATGCTTTTAGCTTCCATTATCAATTTTCTATATTTCCTAGCTGCTAATTTATGTTGATAATAATCAGTTTCCTCTTATCTTGTTATATATCATTTTTATTTCTAATGGCTACCTTTCCTTTTGTTTGATCAGGGTAGTCTTTTGACCAAGGTAGTACTTTCTTGTTTGTAGAATCGTGGCTTTTTGGTCACCTGAATAATAATAATTAGTAATAAGTAGAAGCTGCCCTTCATGATTTTAAAAATAAAATATGAATCTATAGAATATTTTGATTCATATGATATGACATGTTACAATGAGCATGCTACTGTTGATCTTCATAATGCGTCCGACAACATGGCTTGAGTGGTACCACAGATGTTTGGAAAGAATATAAAAATAGTAGCAATTTAACAATGAAATGAAGTAAAGTTCCAAGATAAAATTTATTTTTCCCCCAAATTAAATCATCTTTAATTATTTTCTTAGAATTCCTGTGATCTAGGAATTTGTTGACAATTTTTTCTCATCAAATCAGATGTCATTATAAATATTGTACCAAAAAATTAAACAATTCATTCA